CTTCTTTAACAGCAGACTTTAGAAGGGTCTCCAAAACCCTGTCTGCCAAATGTGAAGAGTATCGAATTCGATGCATCTTGGTTGCTGCGAGATTTGGCTTCGAACTGGTAAGCCTGCACTGTGGTTGAAAGCAAAAGCGATGAAGAATTGACGTTGCCACTGGCCCCAGAGAATTTTCAATACCTGGAGTAAACCGTCAAAGGCCGAATGTCCGATTTTTGCGTTTCGATCTTCTTCTGTAATTTATTCTAAACTTTTACTTAAACGATTAATAACAGATCCGCCAAGACTGATGGTGAGACCGTTGTTTTAGGGATATTTGTTAATTCATATTGACCCAACTGTGAAAAACTTAACGCCTGGGTGGGATTCGAACCCACGCAGAAGGGGGAAGGCTTTAGTACAGCCAACGCTCTAATCACTTGAGCTACGAGGCCCCGACGGACGACTCGAGTTTAATCACATTTGGGTCAAGTTACCCGCCCAACCTACTACAACGTCAGGAATCCACCAAACCTGATGCAGTAAGTTGACTGCCCAAGCAGGATTCCCTAAGTACTTCACCTATGAATATTTGTTAATGGTGATGTTGCGGAATAATGCGTTATAGGCGTTAATGTCGTAACTTAGGAACTATCACCCTAAGCCCTGCCTTGACCTTTTAGACCGAGTAGAGATCTTTGTAGGATATAGTGCAGGTCCCCTTCTTAGCATCCCCGCTTTACTTGGTATGTCCTCAGGCTGCCGACAGACGACTTTATATCTAGATCTTCCGAAATTAAATTAAACAGATCAAATAACAACCCGATACACAAGTCAAATAAGCCAAGCTGCGTTTCTGAGGAACAAAGTCAGACCGACTTGATCCACTTCACAAGTTTCTTTAAGCTAACGTAAAACGTTGAGATTATGTAACGGATTTCCACCTTGTGGAAACCTGGCGCGGTTTTATATCCAAAAAAGAAGATTTAAAGTTTGTTTCCTGGGTCTGTTACTCAGTTAGAGTAGTTACTAGCTCTAAAGCGTACGGAGTCCAATGACAACTGCTCAAAATTGCAGAAACTGTGCTTATTAAAAAAATTCATATTATTTGTGCAACTGCCTGAGTTTCATATTTGAAGTCCGAAACACACTGTAGCATGGAAGGAATCACGTATGGTGCTAGAACGTGGAGTAAATCAAATAGCTGAAATGTAGCCAAATTTACGGAAAGTTATGCCATGTTTAACCAAGTCGGTAATGTTAATTATTATGGTTAAATTCTAGCCGTTCAGATTCCTCCTTCATACACCAATTATAAATACTATCTGAAAATTCACCAATTTCGGTCGAAATATTTCTTTGCAAAAGCCATGTAAGTGATCATTTAAGCCCTTTAGCTCCCTATTCCCGTCCTGAAAAAAATATCCGCGCAATTGCCCTCATGTTTAATTCATGTTTTCTGCAGGTTTATATTCGTCCATTGTGTTTAAAAGGCAGTGGTTAGAAAAGAACAAATTCGGAGTCATGCGGGCTTCGCAGTACGGTGGTCGATGTAGGTAGGGATACGATATTCGCACGCTTCCAATCAGTGCAATTGCACGGTGACTTTGCAGACATCCTTGGGAACCTTGCCCTGTTTGCCTGATGCTGACTGGCCATGATAGAAATTGGCATCTTCTTCCGACAGGTAAAGTACCTCGCCTTTCTAAAATAGGCGGTCACAAATGGCAACTGAGAGTAAGTTTGAGAAAGCAGCATTAATTGTCAAACAGTCTAGACAAGGAACTCTAAATTCAATATGGAAGGAGAGAAACAGAAGATCAAAATTCGACTACTTTTGAGTAATAGGACATATATACTGAAAAGGCGTAAATAGCTGCTCTTCGTCTAACAGATAATGTAACCGGGGGGTGAGAGGTGACATTCTACAAAACTAGCCATGATGCGCGAATGTTAAAAGCCCTTAAGACGAAAAAGCATTCCCACCTTCAGAGGAATGCATTGTCCGGGTAATCCTTCGTAGTCTCTGATCGCCTCGGCTTGCGCTATATTCTGCAGGCAGGTCAGGATTTCGTTGTCATCGG